AAAGCAGCTCCCAAGGGAGATGCCCGTCCAGGCCCTACTCCAGCCTGGAGTCAGTGGAGTTTCAAATACGATTGGACAAACCTGAGTTCCAGACCCAGATGCTTTCCCTGCCCAACCTCTCTCTGTTCTCAGTTTTCCCATCTGTAGAATGGGGATAAACTAACAGATGCCTTCGTACTTGATGTAATTGCTTAAAGAAGAGAATTCCCAAAAGTCATATATTATAGATGTTGTGAGGGTGAGTCTGCTGGATAGAGCCCATTGTCATAAAGCGTACCCAAAAGGCATCAACAACTATTTCCAGAATCTTCTTAGATTTTTCGACCCTTTCTTTTTCTAACATTCATAGTCGTCTCAGCTATACCTAATCGGGTAGCATTTTTATTTTTAAATCTGTGACTGACCTCTGCGCAAGTTTGTCCAAAGCACACGGCTCAGTTTTCACAGCTACAACAACCCTCTTTCATGTTGTGCTTGTAGCGAATAGATGTGTGTAGTGTCTCATTAAGTGCATATCAAGCAGGAGGAATACAACAGGTTTGGGAACAAACCTTTGGTGCAACCCGAGGCACAAAGGCCCCGGCCACCGGGAGCGGACTGCAGTGAGTGTTGGGCACCAGGTAGGGTATCTGCCAGAGACGTAAGGTTTTGGTGAAACCAGGGACGAGGTGTGTTAGCCAGATATTGGGCCACTGTGAGGGTAAAGGGAGCTTCTAGAAGTGTCCCAGCTGAGTAGCAAACGCCTCCCAAAGTTGGGGGCTTAAACCAGCCATTTCACTTTGCTCACGATTGAGGGGGGTCAGGAATTTGGGGAAGGTTTAGCCAGCTGTTCACCTGCGGTCCGTGTGGCATCAGCTGGGGTGGCTGGGATTGGAGGTGCACGTCTGAGATGGCTTCTTGCACCGTGTGTACGGTGACTCTGTGATCCTCCACCTCTTCCTTCCGCCTCCTCTTCCTCCCCCCCCCTTCCTCCTTTTCCTCTCTCTCTTCTCTCACTCTCTATCTCTCTCTCTCCCTCCCCGTCTCTGGTGTCTTCTAATCCAGGGCTAGCTCACAGCATGGCTGCCTCAGGATGGTCAGACTTCAGCCCAGGTGGAAGCCTCTGCTCATGATGTGGCCTAGGAAGTTCCAGGTGGTCACATCCGCCTTATTCTATTGGCCAATAAAATCACTCAGGTCAGCGCAGACTCTAACGGAGGCACCGTACATTATGATGGCCAAATGGCACGTGACGACAGGGAGGGACGGAAGCAATGACAGCCATCCTGGAGACAAGCTATCTTTGTTTCCTGGGGCTGCTGTGACAATGGCCACAGACTGGGGGGCTGAAAACAAGAGACATTTATTCCTTCACAACCCGGGAAGCTGGAAGTGTGAAAGCAAGAGCAGGGTCAGTTCCTTCAGGAGGCTCGGGGCGAGAATCTGTTCTAGGCCTCTCTCCTAGTTTCTGGTCGTTGCCTGCAGTCTTAGCATTTCTTTTCTTTTTAATATATTTTATTGATTTTTTACAGAGAGGAAGGGAGAGGGATAGAGAGCTAGAAACATCGATGAGAGAGAAACATCGATCAGCTGCCTCCTGCACACCCCCTACTGGGGATGTGCCTGCAACCAAGGTACATGCCCTTGACTGGAATCGAACCTGGGACCCTTCAGTCCGCAGGCCGACGCTCTATCCACTGAGCCAAACCGGTTAGGGCAGGGCAGCATTTCTTGACTTATAATGCATCATTCCAATCTCTTCCTCCATCGTCACATGGCCTTTTCTATCTCTGGTTATCGCTCCTCTTTTTTTTTTTTTAATCCTCACCTGAGGACAAGTTCCCATTGAGTTTTGTAGAGAGTGGAAGAGAAAGGGAAAGACGGAGAGAAACATCCATGTGAAACACATAGATTGGTTGCCGCCTGCATAAGCCCTGACCAGGGCCTGGGCCAGGGAGCAGCCTGCAACCGAGGTACGTGCCCTTGACCAGAATCAAACCCAGGACATTTCGGTCCGCAGGCCGACGCTCTATCCACTGAGCCAAACCAGCCAGGGCTCTCTCCTCTTTTTACAAGAACACAAGTCATTGAATCTGGGGTCCAACCTAGTTCAGTATGACCTCATTTCAACTTCACTCTTTACCCTATTTCCACATCTGATCACGTTCTGAAGTTTGCAGTGGACATGGCTTTGAGGGGACACTCTTCACCCCGATGCACAACCAGCCATGGCAGATGAAGCCCTTAGTTTGCATGTACTAAGCTTTGGTGACATCACCGTGGGTGGGAGCCTCTGGCCTTGTCAGAGCCCATGTGGCCAATCTCAGCCCGTCATGCCCGCAAGACTCAGAGTCTGGGCAGCAGATGTCTGCTTATTCCAGGATGGTGGCCTGGGCACCCCTCGTCACCCTTCCCAGCTGGGCAGCACTTGGAGAGTTTGAGAAGCAGATAGTTTTGAGGATTGTTTGCTTTCCTCAAGGTCAAAGGGAAACTCCATCCTTTTCTCCCAGCCAAAGAGGCTGCAGCGCCCATACACTAAGCTTACAGCTCTCAACCCTTCTTTCCTGCTACTAAATAATACTGATGACAATAATGAACAATAACAATGAACACATCTAACACTGGTGGACGCACTCTTATGTATTTTTGACTTGTTTAATCCTCATTAAAAAGCCCTGTGCAGCCCTAGCCGGGTTGGCCCAGTGGGTAGAGCGTTGGCCTGCAGACTGAACAGTCCCAGGTTCTATTCTGGTCAAGGGCACATGCCCAGGTTGCAGACTCGGTCCCCCCAGTAGGGGGCATGCAGGAGGTAGCCGATCAGTGATTCTCTCTCATCGATGTTTCTATCTCTCCCTCTCTCTTCCTCTCTGAAATCAATAAAAATATATATTTTTCACAAAGTCCTGTGCAGTAGGACTCCTTCATGGGGAAACTGAGGTACAGCCACTTGCCAGAAGTCATACAGCCATTGAGTGACAGAGGCAGGCTTCCAATCCAGGCCGTCTGGATTCAGAGATGGCCGGTTTTACCCACTATGCAACCCGCCCTTCTGAGAGAATGACAGCACACAGTCCTGAAGCTTTCTGATGACTGAGCACGGAGCCCTGGGCACGATTGCTTTGAATCCTCACAACTCAGGGAGTCCTGGGGCTAGTCCTCATCCTGATTTTACAAACCAGGAAACGGAGGCTCACAGAGGTCACATTTATTGACATGTATGCAAACTAGGAGGTAGCAGAGCCAGGCTTTGGGCCCTGAACTCACGCTGTGCTGTCAATGCAGCAGCCCATGTGCCGCACGGGGGTGGCCATCCCTCCCCTTCTTCTGGCCTCGGTTTCCCCGTCTGCACCAGCCTCTGTCTCTGCAGCTCTGGTTCCCATCCCTCCAGCTCCAAGCCCAGCCAAGAGCATCTCTTCAACACAAGTGCTGCTCAGAGTCCCAGAGCTGAGCCTCATTGGTCCATCCCAGGTCATGTGACCCCGCCAGCCTGACGTGGCCAATGGCTGGGCTGGAGTCACGTGACCTGCTACACAGTCAAAAGCTGGCGTCCACCTGTTGGAACTGCAGTGGGTGCTGGAGGGGGGGGGGGGGGTCCCTGCAGCCCTGAGCTGCCCATATCCGGAAGAGAGTTTCCGGAGACCCCCCTTGGTCTCAGTAGGGGGTCCCCGCCTGCCCCAGGAGCCTGTGTCCTGACGCCCTCACTCCTGCCCCCCAGGCCCGAAGCAGGACGCGGAGGCAGCCAAGCAGTTCATCCTGGACATGTACAGCGGCATGTACGCCGGCTGCGCGGACACCACCGAGGGGGGCAGGAAGGGCTCGCGCTCCCGGCGCCTCTTCAGCCACTACACGTGCGCCACGGACACGCAGAACATCCGCACGGTCTTCAAGGACGTGCGGGACTCGGTCCTGGCCCGCTACCTTGACGAGATCAACCTGCTGTGACCCAAGCCCCGCCTCCCGGGCTCGGACC